AAAGAAAGAAAAAATAAATCAGGTGATAACAGTAGATTGAACTACCGAGACTGCCACCCCTTCTTACTCAAATCTTGGGCTGTTAGTGCCAGATGGCAGATAGCAACTCAAAAAGCTCTCCCTCCAATTATAAATATCAGAGGTACTAGATAGAGGAAGCTCCCAGTTCTGACCAAACTCTGATCTCAACCAAGCAGTTATGCTCCATCTTTTTTGTCCATCTCTAACGTACTCCCTTCACTTGGAAGGTAAGTAACAAAGGCGACCACAATCTACCGCAAGTCTCCCATGTCCACGTAAAATATTCGCCATTCCCCCCAGTCCTAGCCGTTTAAGTAAATGTCCCCAGAGCCTTGTACTGCGTCCACTCCTCCTTCGTTCTCCACAAACTAGGAGCGAAAGGTCCACATGGTCTTTCTTCCTTTCCAATTAAGCTTGGAGAGTAGGAAATGAAAGATATACTTTGAAGATAAACTGAAAAGCCGGGTTTCCTTTCTTGGATCCCGAACAAGCTCTTGCCTTCAACCCGAGCGGTGAGACAGCCCCTCCCTAGGATGTAAAACGATGCCACCATTCCGAGTGCCACTACTGACGCTCAAGCCCTCGCGCGCCGCCTCACCTGAGAGCAGCACCCACTCCCCGGGGCCCCGCCCACGCCCTCTCACCTGAGAACAGCACCAGCTCCCCACCACGACACCGCCCGCGCCCCACCATAAAGCCAGATCACGACTTCTCCTTCCGGGTGAGTTGCCGGTGCCCCGGTGCACGACGGGAGACGCCCAATCCCGGGTGCCCAGGACGCCCCGCCCCTGCAGGCCCGGGCTCTGAGTGAAATTCCCCCTTCCGAACAGCGCGGCTCGGCTTGCCCAGACCCCGGACTGGAGTCAGGATTCCCCCTAGACTCACTTGGGACGCTAGAGAGTGGACACAGGTGCCGGGTGAGGGATGGCGAATGGGCTCCGATGTCCAATCCCGGGCTGCGTTCCGCCCACCGTCAGGGGCAGCCAATGAGCGGCCAGGGGGCGTCAGCGACGGTCCGCCAGTGGGTCCCGGGAGCCGAGGGGTGTGAGGGGATGTTACTCCTGTTCCCATTTTGCGAGGACTGTCTGCACTGTAGGAGGTTCGGGGCGTTAGGAAGCCCACAACCCTGGAGCGTCACTAAGTCCCGAGAGCCGCCATTTGAACTTCGTGGTTTGCTGTTCCGCAGCGGAGCTATCAAGGGGACTCCGATTCAGATTCGTAAAGCCACTGACCGATTGTCAGAGTGAAAGCCAGACTCGAGAGGGTCCGGCAACTCAGATTGAACTGAGCGAAACAAACCCGAAGCAGCCTCATGCAGCTAGGTCGCCAGAGAAAGCCGTTGAGTGTGTCGAAGACTTTTGCGGTGCTATCGAAATGTCTTTTAGCCACTTATTTAAAGATAATTTCAGCAGGCCGAGCGCAGTAGCTCACGCCAGTAATCCTAACACTATTAGGGTGGCGGAGGCAGGAGGATCGCTTGAGGCCAGGTTTGAGACACGCCCTACCAATTTAAGGAGACCGTCGTCTCTACAAAAAAATTTAAAAATTAGCGGGGCGTGCTGGCACGCGCCTGTAGTTCCAGCTACTCGGGAGGCTGAGGCAGGGCAATCACTTGAACCCGGGAGGCAGAGGTTGCAGTGAAAAGAGACCGGGCCACTGCACTCCAGCCTGGTGACAGAGCGAGACTCCCTCTCAAAAAAAAAAAAGAAAAAGAAAGAAAGAAAGGGGCCAGGCGTGGTGGCTCAGGCCTGTAATCCCACCACTTTGGGAGGCTAAGGCGGGTGGATCACCTGAGGTCAGGAGTTTGAGACCAGCCTGGTCAACATGGTGAAACCCCATCTCCACTAAAAATACAAAAATTAGCCGGGCATGGTGGTGGGCGCCTGTAATCCCCACTACTCGGAATGCTGAAGGAGAATCGTTTGAATCCGGGAAGTGGAGGTTGCAGCAAGCCGAGATCTGGCCACTGCACTCCAGCCTGGGCAGCGGAGGAAAAGTATGCCTCAAAAAAAAAAAAAAAAAAACAGGCGCAGTGGCTCACACCTGTAATCCCAGCACTTTGGGAGGCAGGGAGGCCAACATGGGTGGATCACCGGAAATCAGGAGTTCGGAACCAACCTGGCTAACATGGTGAAACACTGTCTTGTCTCTACTAAAAATACAAAAATTAGCCAGGCATGGTGGTGTGTGCCTGTAATCCCAGCTACAGGGGAGGGGGGTGGGGAGGGCTGAGGGAGGAGGTTTGCTTGAACCCAGGATGCAGAGGTTGCAGTGAGCCGAGACCTTGCCACTACACTCCTGCCTAGGCAACAATAGAGACTCCATTAAAAAAAAAAAAATCTCTGAGGGTCTGAATAACCTAAAATGTCACTATTCTTATGGGAAGAAAAAGAACTAACTCATTTGATACCAAACAATTTTTTGAATGGATATTGTTAACACAGAAACTTTAGGCTTGTGGGCCAGGTGCAGTGGCTCACGCCTGTAATCCCAGCTCTTAGGGAGGCAGAGGAGGGAGGATAGCTTGAGCCCAGGAGTTTGAGACCTGCCTGGGCAATATAGAAAAAACCTGAACTCAAAAAAAAGGGGGGGGAAAAAAAAAAAAGACAAAATAAATAAATAAATAAAAGAATGGTATAGAGCACCAGGGCAGTGATGGCCCTCTCCACCTTGAAACACACACACAAGAGACAGAGTTTACTAATACACTAAATGTGATACATCTGAAACTCTTGTCCTGTAATGTACAGTTTAGGAAAATGATGACATTTAAATCGAGACCTCAGGGAAGAAGGCTGAACTTCAATATTAGAAGAAACACTCAAAAGAAAGATTAGACTTACTGTGTGGCTACAGATGCCAGAATTAGGGAAGATAGGTGGCATTTACATGGGGAGGAGAATTCAGGTCAATATGGGGAATTAGGGATAGCAGCATTTTATGTAGACAGAAATATGGCTTGGGAGTTAGATAGAAATAAGATCAAATCAATCAAGAATTTATAGCCAGGCATGTGGCTCACATCTGTAATCTCAGCACTTTGGGATGCCCAGGCTGGTCAATGACAAGACTCTGTCTCTACAATAAATATTAAAAAATTAGCTGAGTATGGTGTGGCTCACAGCTACCCAGGAGACTGAGGTGGAAAGATTACTTGAACCTGGGAAGTTGAGACTGCAGTGAACCATGATTGCACTACTGCACTCCAGCCTAGGTAACAGAGTAACCTAGGCTCAAAATAAATAAATAAATAAGACAGGCACCGTGGCTCCTGCCTGTAATCCCAGCACTTTGGGAGGCTGAGGTGGGTGGATCACTTGAGATCAGGAATTCAGGACGAACCTGGCCAAGATGGTGAAACCCCATCTCTACTAAAAATACAAGAAATTAGCTGGGTGTGGTGGCTCATGCCTGTAATCCCAGCTATCCAAGAGGCTGATGCATGAGAATTGCTTGAACCCAGGAGACGGAGGTTGCACTGAGCCGAGATTGCACCACTGCACTCCAGCCTGAGAGACAAAGCAAGACTCTGTCTCAACAAATAAAAAAAAATTTTAAATGACAGAATTCAAACAGGTACAGTGGCTCACGCCTGTAATCCCAGCACTTTCAGAGGCTGAGGCGGGCAGATCACAAGGTCAGGAGTTCGAGACCAGCCCAGCCAACATAGTGAAACTTGTCTCTACTAAAAATACAAAAGTTAGCCAGGTGTGGTGGCATGTGCCTGTAATGATAGCTACTCAGGAGGCTGAGGCAGGAGAACCACTTGAACGTGGGAGGTAAAGGTTGCAGTGGTGAGCCAAGATCGTGCCACTGCACTCCAGCCTGGGTGACAGAGCAGGACTCCATCTCAAAAAAAAAGACAATTCCTAGCACTAAAGTAAGCACTCATTATTTATTTTTTTTTAAGATGGGGTTTCACCATGATGGCCAGGCTTGTCTTGAACCCCTGACCTCAGGTGATCCACCCACCTCGGCCTCCCAAAGTGCTAGGATTACAGGTGTGAGCCACAGCGCCCAGCCAGCAGTCATTAATAGTAGCTAATATCATTACAACTAATTTTCTCATCATTTACGTCATTCGAAAACAGCACACTTCAGGAGGAAGTGAGTAGATGCTTCTCACTTGCTTCTTCATAGAGACCCAACCCAAATGTTTCAGGAAGAATTGCTCTCTTCTTTGTGCTTTCTTGAAGGCCTGTTAACTAAACTATTATGATATTGCTGGGCTGGGTTTTTCTTACATGACAGTTTTTCAGAGCCCTGAAAACTGCCTGCATCAGCAAAACTGTCTTATAAATGCAGTACAGGAGAAAGTTTAAAACACACACACACATCTGAGGTGAAGAAAGACGAAGGAAACCTTGATCAGCTCCATTTTCTGTCAGGTAGGAGGGAATTTCCTTTATCCAACAAATATTGATCGATGACCGTATGCAAGGGACTGTATTGGGCACTGGAGGTATAGTGGTGACAATACAAGGCAGAGTTTCTATTTACAGGAGTTTTGAGTACAGAAGCAAAGACAGACACTAAGGACAAGAAAGTGGGTGAATGTCATGATGGCAGTCTAAATTTCCATATTAATGGGATTTGGGACAACAATCTAGTTGAAATCAGAAAAGCCAGAACACATCTCAAACGATAACAAACAAGGTTTTTTCCTAATTGTGTGTTTCTTTGGGATGACTGGGTGAAAGGTGCTCATGGAGGTTAAGGGGTCAGCACTAATGCCAATGAAAAAGGGGACATTTTCGTGGTGCAGCCAATGAATAGGTGGAAATTCAGGAAGCTAGACACCTACAGGGGACCTAACCTACTCTAGGGAATCAGGGAAGGCTTCAAAGGGGAATTAATCTTTTTTCATTTTCTTTTTCT